CACACACACACACACACACACACACACACACACACACCCCTCCAGCTCATACCAACCCCTTGGGATCCCACAAGCAGAAACAATTCCTAGGCAAACCCAGCACTAGGAATCCTAGCTTCCAAGTGCCTGCTAACCAAAGTCCCAGATGATTCTCTGACAAGACAGAGCCAGGAAATAAAGGATAAATCATTGTCAGCCAGAATCGCTTGTGGAGGCACACATAACACTCCCATGTCAAGAGGCCCTTGGGTGTGATGCAACCCTTGCTGGACTGACATGATGATGCAGAAGCAGTAGCTCTGAATATAACAACTTTTAAAGCATCTGAACGTGGCAAGAGTAGTTGTGCTCCCTAGTGGCCTATAGGCACCTCAGTTCCTTTAGCTTGTAGATAAAATGTGACACCCTAGTTTCTTTGGCTGCAACAGCTTTCCCAGGGAAAAGGACCCTGTTGGGTTGGAAAGTTGTTAAAAATCTCAGAGCATAATGGTCACTGAACCTCAGTCCAGAGCTACTGCAGAGACAGGTCTTTCCCATTCTTCTAGTATTTGAGACAAAGAAAGATTCATGTGCCAAACAACAAGCTGTGGATATGAGGTCAGACAGGAGGGCCATAAAGCCAACAAAGATCAGTTGCATTAAAGAGGCAGTGCAAATCTCTCAGGAGGAGCTGTGAGTCTCTGTCAACACTGGCATCAGGTTGCATGAAACACATGAGCATTCAAAATACTGGCTGCAGTTATATTTATATTCCCTGGGGGAAGAAAGCATACAAGAGTAAAGACACTAAGAAATGCTTTTGTCCTTTGATTACACATGTTTACTTTCTCTCAACCCAGTTCCTTTCCACACTATTCTTCTTTCAGGTTCTCCTGATTCTGTTTCATTTCAAATGAAATCATCTTATCTTACCTTAACTAGTCTTATTCTAATTTGATTTGTCTCACCTCACTCTATATCCTGTACCCTACTTTGATTAGAACTCTTTTGCTCCATCTTATCCCAAATTTCACAATTTCATTTAGGCTACAACCCATATACCATTCTGGCTAGACCATCATGTGCCATAATCATTTCACAACCTTCCTTGGGTAGTATTCCTACAGAAAAAGGCACATAAACATGGATAAATTGGTAATATAGTACTTGGAGAATGGATGTGGATGGGCTCCAAATCCACCATATTCAAAGCCCCCAAGTGCAGTATAATTGAATAAGATCACTGTGGGAGAGATTTCCAGTGGTTTCTCAGTTGGACACTTTTACTATGTATGAGTTAGAGACAAAGAAAGGGGTTAGGAATGGGACAAAGATTTGCTGAGTACAATATGTCCTTTTCTGCTGCAAGCTAAGACTTGTGTTGTGCACACCATGCTATTTTAATCTCACCACCACCTTAAAAGGTATTTATATACCCATTTTTTTTACAAATAAATGAAACTCAAGCCTAAGAAATCTTGGTTAAATTGCACAACTAAGTGATTTTAGATCTAATCAGAGTGGCTGCAAGGGGACCATACCTTCTTCATCATTCTGTCTTGTGGGCTGATGATACCATTGCACACCATTGCACAATGCTGGCAGTAGGAGAGGTGATAGCTTCAGCACTGGTCCTAGTTGCCATAATCATCACACCAAACTTTCCTAAAGAATGAAGCAAATATGGAGAGTGAGCTATAGAGCATAGGAAATAGCACCCACATTATAGGAAAAGCTGTTTCATCCAGCTCTGCCTTTCCCATGAGTTTATTTAATCCATGCATTACTTGTTTATGTGTGTATTATCTCTCTATATATAACTTAAATATAAACTTCAAGAAGGAAAGCACTTTGTTTTGTTTATTACTGTATGCCCAGTCCTTAAAAGATTGCCTAGGTATTTGGCAGTGCAAAGATGCTACTTAGACATTATGTTAAATGAATGAATGAATGAATGAATGATATGATATATTTGTAGAAGTTCTTAGTATTTGAACTATAAGAAAAAGATGAGATCTAATGGGTAAATTGTTCTACACAAATACAAGATGGGAAATATATGACTGCATTCCACTTAAGTGGCTAGAGCATAAATATGCTGAAACATGAAGAGACATCCCCACTATCATGCTGGTCAGAGCTCACTAGTATTCTAAGGGACACGAAAAGACTGGATGATGTTTAGGGAGAGTGCTTGAGATAGAAAGAAGACCCAGAACACTTTCCTGTGGGTATAAATTAAAGACCTGACATGGGAAGAGTCCCAGACATACTAGGTACAATTCTAAAGGCCTCTGGATGAAAGTCATATGGAGGAATATAGTCAAATAAAGGGTTAAGAAGTCTACCATTCTGAATTGTTCAAAACCAAATTGGTTAAATCTCCCTGAAAGCTCATTCATATTCATTCAGCTGGAGCTGAGGCTGGACCATCACTACACATCCATTGTCCTGATGTGATTCAGGCATTAGAGGAAGATTGTACTAAACTTTAAGATGCCTGTCAACTCTTAAACATGATAGTTCTGTTTCTCCTGATCATGCTTATCTGAGAATTCTCAGAAGTATCCAGCAGAGTTCTCAGTAAAGCCCAGGTCTGACATCAAAGTCTACCAGTCTTAGCCACGTTCTCAGAACATCCTGCCTCCCGCTCCTGCTATGGACTCCGGGAGGACCCTGTTAAACCTTTCCACTGCCCTGCTGCAGACTCTGGCCATGGACAGCCTTCTCCTTCATCTCCTTTGCCTCCTCCCATTTTCATCCCAGCCTCTGTGCATGTCTTGAGACTGGGTCCCCAGAATCTGCTCACACTGCATGCCCACTAATTATTTATAAGGGAAATCAATCCCCATTCATGTGTCAGTGAATATAGACAGAATGCCTCACTCCAGTGCAAATGCACAAATCTCTTGAAGGACATTTATTACAAAATAAATCCCAAAGAATCTCAGGATATTATCAAAGTAAAAGTAAGTAAACATAACAAAGGGTAACAGAAGCTTTAGTAAGGGTTCAGTATTGCAACCAGTTAGAAGGGGCTACTAGAGGATCCTGTCTTAAAGTTCCAATTGCCATGCAAGAATACTGTATCCACCTACAATTTCTATCAACTGGTGTTAAGTTTAGGTTCAGTTTAGGGAAATAATAGAAGGCCCTAGGTCTCCAAGCCCAATGTTGGTTTTGCAACTGATTTGGGAGAGGGGAAAACAGATGCCCTTCAGTTCTTACGATATTCTAAAAAATGATAAGGGTATCCGAGGCGAAATATATGCTAGGAAGAAAATGCTAATTATGGACACTGAGCAGATAGAGCATAGGAGTACACTGAGTTGTGCAATAGAAAGAACAACCAGAACACCTCTTCTCCCACAGAAAATACCCCTTTCAAAAGCACAGGTAACAGGAGTAAAGCTTATGAGTAGTGGTCTTTCGGAATTGGACATTGATGGGTTGACTCAGCAAATAAGACTCCAAAAATAGTGCTTCAGCAGTGAGATAATAATAATAGTTTTATTAAGGCTGTGGGAATTATTTTTGTAATTATTTTTAGCTAACTTGAATATCTCTAAGTTGGAGTTAAAATGGAAGCATTTTCTTTGGACCCAGTGGGGAACTGGCTGTGCCTTATAAATTGTGCTTCTAATTCACAGGACACGTGAGCTGGAGGAGGCCAGGAAGGCAGCTCCCGGGCCTAGTGACACAACCACTCATCCCATGGCTCAGAAGGCTGTGTAGGCACACAAGCATGCAGGCATTCACACCATGTGAGGGAGCTCCCTTTGCAATTTAATGCAAAAGTGCAGACGTCCTCATAGGCCAGAGAGAAAGGGAACAATGAACCATGCTGTCTCATGCTCACCCCTGAACTCACAGCTGCACAAGTCCTGAGAGAGGAGCTGGGGAAGATGAGGAAAGGCAAAAGCACATGATAAGAAGCCTCTTCTCTAAAGCCACAGCTCTCTCCTAATGCTCCCTAGGCTCAGACCCCTTTCAAGCTTCTGTGGGAAGTGATTCATGCTCTCCTCCTCCTCCCATTATTTGTCAAAATACTTTACCTAGGCTCTACATCTACAAGGCTGCTCTCATCAATGACAAACTATTGACAAAGAAATATTTATGGTGTGTTAATGGATGACAGTAGGCCAGTTCCTGATTTGGCAGACATTTATTGAGAAGGCCTCATGGACCAACACAGGCTTTCAAAGTAAATAGTCCCTGTTAATTTGATATCAGAATAGCAAGTAAAAGTAAGTTCTTTTCTCAAAATATATTTCTGGTAAACTCAGAACACTTACTGGTGAAGCATACAACTAAAGAACAAGCAAGGTATCTGCAGTGTTTGGTGTGGGGAAGTGTCAGTTAGCTTTAGACATCACCCCTATCTGCTGCCATTATGTCCATTCACTTGCTCATATTAATAGATGCAGTGTGATCAAGAGCTACAGTGAATATTTAAATTATTTTTTAAAATTATTACAGTAAAACATACATTGCCATTAATCCCCCAAAAACTACTCCTCCTTACTTCAACATATTTATCTCAGCACTCTTGCTACTTCTGAAGCAGTTCTGGATGAACACTTTCATGAGTGCCTTTAGTGGGGCTGTTGTGGCTACCTCGATGTCCTGAATCGATTGAACACATTTATCTTTCATGGACATTTTTATGTTGGGGAAGATCCAGAAGTCAACTGGTACCAGTCTGGTGAGTAAGGAGGATGAGGATACACTGTAATGTTTCTATTTGACAGAAATTGCCATAAATAATTTTTAATCAATTCAGGACATGGTGGCAGCCACAAAAGACAGTCACAAAAGAGGACTTCCAGAACCGTTTCAGGAAATAGTGAGAACAATGAGACAAGTGTGTTCGAAGTGAGAGAGCATTTTGAGGGGGAGTGATGTGTTTTTTACTGTAAAACAGTTTTAAAATGTAAACATTCACCATATATTTCAATCACACTTTGTGTGTGCTTCTTTCCATAGAAAACGCACTATTCATTTCTGTTTTATGCCTGGCAGTGGTGAGGGTTGAAGAGCTGAGACAAGCATGTCAGTCTGGCCCTGAGCCCTGAGCCCTTATTAACCAATCTTAGCTCCTTGTTTCTTTGATATGAAGCCTAATGAACCAGTTTTTAAACTTTCCTAGCTGGACTGATCTCCTCCTAAAATGGAACTGCCCTTCCTCCCAGCTCAGGGGCTTTCAGCTCTACTGACTGAATTGCATAATTTGATTTAATAAATCAGGAGAATTTGCAGTGGGTTTTGGGTACTTCCATTAGGGAAGATATATGTGGTATGGCTGCTGTTTGGTCGTGTGTTTAATTAAATTAATGAATTAGTGTCTTTGCTAGTGAAGATTCCAGGCACATATACCCCTTATTCTTTAGCCCCCAGGCTTTACTCAGTAAGATTCCTAAGTTTTAGCACAAATAGATTTTGAGGAAAGAGTTGGGACTTACTTGCTCTTCTCCCACCAAGAGGCCCAGTTATCCCAATGTCAAAGGGTTTCATTCATTTCTACTTCTGAAGCTAACCTTGCACAGCCCACCCACACCATGTGCTCATTCTGGCCCACGGTGCTCTCTCTTCTTCCTCCTCATTCTCCTCCTTACATCAGGACATCACGACACTTGCTTTCATATCCTGAGGAGACCACACATGACATCTTAACAAAGGAGTCCTCCTGGTAAGGGGGGAGCATTTCAACAAGGACTTAATTCAATGTATAAACACAGTGGTCTCTCTGTATCCATGGGAGATTTAATCAGGACCCCCAAGGATACCAGAAATCTGTAGATGTTCAAGTCCCTTATATGAAATGGTAAATGGTATAATATTTGCATACAACTTACACATATTCTTCTATATACATTAAATCATCTCTAGATTGCTTATAATCCCTAATATAATGTAAATAATAAATAATTGTTATGGTGTATTGCTTAGCAATTAATGACAAGGAAAAACAGTGTATGTGTGTTCTATACAGGTGCATTTTTTTTCAAATATTTTCAATCTGCAGTTGATTGAATCCACAGATGTGGAAACTGGACACTCTACTTCAAAACATCATGTTATGCAGAGTAAAAACATACAACTTGATCTGTCCACTGAAAATACATTTTTAAAAACTAAGGGATGAAACACTAAAATTAGTGTTTCATGCCCCATGCGGCAGGAAGGAAAGATGTTCTGCATGGGAACAGCATCCCTGAAGTCACTGGGGAGGTCCCTTTACCGGGGGGAATGCTGCCCAATGAAAGGAGAAGTGCTAGCCCTTGAATGGCCTGCCACACAGCCGCACTGCCACCACCACCACCTGTTGGACTCCATTACTCATATTTTCTGTGGCTGTAACTGGCTTCTAGAGTTTTGCATAAAGCAAATGAAGCTGTAATCAAGGTCTTTGTCACTGTCCCACATTTGCATGGAGGAAGTGCTGCAGTTTGGGGACAGCTCATCAGTCCTCAGTTTGCTTAGAAAGAGGTTTACTTTTTTTAAGGAATAAAAGGAAAATAACTTTAAAAGGACCCTATGCATTTTAAGACTATGATTTTGGTGATTTTGGAGACATGGCAGACAAAAATATTCTAATTTCTCCGCAGCTTACTTTACATAATATATTGGTCCAAACAAGCCAAGGACTGGACTCAGAAGCAGAG